ATTCCATTCTAGAGAGCTGCAATGGTTCCTGCTACCTTTCCAGCGATCCGGAAGAGCCACTTCCAACGTCTGGATAAAGGTACCACACAATGTTCTCCGATTGCTCCGCTGGTGGTCGGAAAAAATGATAAACAAGGGGTGTCCTTTCAAGGAACCTTACAGGGCAACAATCACAACCGATGCCAGCCTGGTAGGATGGGGAGCTCACTTCCAATCCCACACTGCGCAGAGAATTTGGACTATTTCCAAACAATCACAAAGCATCAATCTGTTGGAGCTGCGAGCAGTTCACCTGGCCTTACGCAGTTTTCTACCCCTTTTCCAATCATGCCACGTTCTGGTCTTGACAGACAATATCACAACCAAGGCCCACGTAAACAGACAGGGGGATACCCACTCCAAACTTCTTATGCTGGAGACGGCCAAGTTGTTCAAGTGGGCCGAGGCCAATCTGTTTTCGCTCAAGGCACAACACATAGCAGGGGCATTAAACACACAAGCGGACTTGCTCAGCAGGGCCACGATAGATCAGGCAGAGTGGTGCCTACACCCATCTGTCTTCCAGGAAGCAGTGCGGAGGTTTGGGCAACCGGTGATCGATTTAATTTCCTCTCCTCTCAACGCCCAATTGCCCCGGTATATTTCAAGGTACCTGACTCAGGGGGCGGAGGCCGTCAATGCCCTACCATGTCAGTGGCCTCCCGGACTTCTATATGCGTTTCCTCCACTCCTGATAATACCCAGGTTGATCCAGAAGTTATTGGAGGAACGAGCAGAATTGATATTGGTCGCCTCTTATTGGCCCAGGCGAACGTGGTTCCCAGATTTACAGGACCTGTCGCGAGAACAACCTTGGAAAATTCCACCATCGAAGGTTTCCCTCTCCCAAGGGCCGATACGTCACCCGAACCCAAAATGGCTCAGTCTAGCCATATGGAGGTTGAGCGGAGCCGTTTAAGGGCCCAACAGATTTTAGAGGATGCTATTGCCACCAGTCAAGCATCCAGACGGTCCTCAACAAATCGTATATACGAGGCCACGTGGTCCGCCTTCTGTCACTGGTGCCAGGGGTCTAAGATTGACCCAACTGCCCCATCAGTAGGACAATTATTGGACTTTTTACAGGAGGGGTTGACCAAGGGCCTATCTCCAAATACTTCACGCAGACAGGTGGTGGCTTTAGCCTTGGTGATAGCCTGGAGTGGCCTCCATTCCATAGCGCACCATCCACATGTCCACAGCTTTCTTAAGGGTGCTGCAAACTTACCACCTCCTGTAATTCACCGCTATCCCACCTGGGACCTCAACAAGGTGTTATCCGCACTTACAACTGGCCCGTTCGAGCCTTTAAGAACCACTGGTCTTAAATTCCTGACATATAAGGTGGCCTTCCTAATTGCAATCACATCAGCTAGGAGAATTTCCGAATTGGCGGCATTGTCAATGAGAAAGGACCTGTGCGTGTTTCATGCGGACAGAATGATTCTCCGATTGGATCCATCGTTCACTCCTAAAGTAAATTCACCCTTCCACAGAGTGCAGGAGTTGGTCCTTCCAAATTTTTGTCCGAAACCATCTCATAGACTGGAGCATCAATGGTATCGACTTGATGTTCAAAGGGCCTTAAGCATCTATCTAGACCGTACGGCGGCATTTTGAAAATCTGAGGCTCTATTCCTATCCTTCAATCCATCCACTTTAGGGCAAAAGGTGTCGTCCATGACCATTGGTAGATGGTTGAGAGCCACCATAGCTAAAAGTTATGAATGCCAGTCCATCTCAGTTCCTCAAGGCATTACAGCCCACTCAACAAGGAATGCGGCAACATCAGCAGCATGGGCCACACGGGCTTCCATAGACGAAATTTGCAGAGCAGCAACTTGGGCTTCACCATCTCCCTTTGTCAGAAATTGTAAAACTGATGTCTATGCCTCAGCAGATGCTTCATTTGGCAGAAGAGTCCTGCAGAGGGTCCACAGAGTTTAGGAGTGGATTTCGATCCAGATGGAATCCCTCCTTAAGGACAGGCCAAGTTTTGGTATGTCCCACTTCTGGATGCTCTGAACAGCTCATGGGAGAAAGGGCGTTGGTACTTACCTGATACGCCCATTCTCTGTGAGCTGTGAAGAGCATCCAGCCCCACCCATTTCTTTCCATCTGGTGGGGTTCTGATCCAGTCAGGGATCTAGATTAGGTGATGAGTCCCAGACTTTGGCACTCAGTCTTCGCAAAACTGGGGACACTGAGGAGGTGTCCCGTGGAGGAGGAGGAGCATCCCAGAGTTTTAAGCTCAGCCTTTCCAAAAGAGACTGAAGCACCTCCCACTTCTGGATGCTCTTCACAGCTCACAGAGAACGGGCATAAGGTAAGTACCAATGCCCTTTTTCTGGCCTCTCCATACTACTTTAATGGGGTGTGATCAGCCAGGTATTTGGGGAGATCTCAATCTTCTCTATCTCTTTTCCTAAGTCAGTACTTGCCCATACCACGTTAATCCTCGAGCAAGATTTATGTGGGTTCGAGTAAAAGGTAAATTTCTGTTCTGTGGGATTGAATGATCTCCACACATCTATTAAATTTAGTTCCTCCATCATATCAAAAAATGTTTTTGGTAATATATTTCTTTTCTTTTGTTTCTTGTTATCACTAATGTAATCTTTTGTAATATCTACAATTCCATTATGATCTCTCACTATAAATATGTCCTTTTGGCCTGTCTCAATAATCTTTTAGTGGAGTTTCTTATAGAATTCTTTTTTATTTTTATTGGGTGCATAAGTATTTACTAATAGCATCAATTTTTGTCCTATCTTTATTTCAATCATTAAGATTCTTCCTTTAGTGTCTGCATAAATTTGCTTAGCTTTTATCTCTTCACTGATGTATACCACCACCCCTCTTTTTTTTCTCCGCAAGTGCTGTGTAGAGTTTTTCCAATTTGTTGAGTTCTAAATATTTTTCATCTTGTCTTTTAATATGTATCTCCTGGAGGCACACAATATCTACATTTTGCTTAACCAGTTTTGAAAGTATTTGTTTTCACTAAGGCGTTTAACCCATTCACATTTACTGACAATAGTTTTAATTCTTTCTGCTTGGTTGGTCTACTGGTTTCTAGTATCTATTGATTTTCTTGTTTCTTTCTGTTCTTGTTCTGATGCCTTCTTCCTTCTGAAATTCTTGTGTCTCTTTACCTTTGCCTTCCTGATCTTCTATTTCGGATTTCAGCTGACGGTCTTCTTGACTCCCTCTAGTTTCTTTCTGCTGCTATCATTCTCTTCCATTCCTGTCAATTGATCATATAATTCTTGGGCTTTATCTAGATTGTCTATTTTTATCTTTTCACTTTGCCAGGATACTAGCATGCCTTCTGCGATAATCCACCGAAATAGTATATTCCATTTACTCAGTTGGGAGTATTTTTCTCGATAGACTTCATTGTCTCCTCCGAACCTCTCTTCTTCGCTCTTCGATCTGTTCCAGGTTTTTCTGACTTCTTTCAGCCTCGGTTCGCTCAGCCGTTACTTTGTTGCTTTCAGCACTAGTCGAGTTGGGTCGCAGAATTCTCCTTTTGTCTCTCTCACCTTTAATGCCTTCCGCTCTCCTGCTTTCACTTTCGACATTCTTTCTCTTTTCTTTCCCTCCGTACTCGTTGCACCCCTCTCCATCACTATTGATTTCAGATTTCTTCCACTTTTTGGGTTTTAAGTTCAATAGATCACAGCTCTTCCCTTCGGATCGCTGCTAAATTTTTCAGGATTAAAACCTTCCCACCAAAGCTTCCTTTTTTACCAAGAGTTTCTGGGAATTAATCACTTTAACAATTCAGTTCAATCCACTGCAGATCTGGGATTTTCTCGCCAGTCAGAATGTCACAGTCTGTTCAATACAGTCTTTTCTTCCTCTTCTGTTGTGACTAGTCATGCCCTCAGGTCCGCCATGTCAAAATGACATGGCAAGACACTTTCCGTGCCAGGTTTGAGAGGGATCCTTTCGTTGCAGCGAATGGTTGGCTTCCTCCTGCTGCTCCCCAGCCCCAGGTATCCCTCTGTTTCACGTTGCTCTCAAAGCTTTCCACGCCTTTGAAGGTTCTCCAATCACGGTAAAATCAGAGTCAAAGGACTGAGGTCATCCTTTTTGCTCTCTACTGCCACGACGTGAAATAGAATTTATTCTATTTGAATCATTATTTATTTATAAAAATTTATTGGCCACTCATCTTACCACAAAATAACTCTGGGTGGCTTACAAGCATAAAAGATAGAGAAAGAGGTGTGGTGGTGCAGTGGTCAGAATACCGTAATGCAGGCTACTTCTGCTGACTGATAGTTGCCAGCAGTTCAGTAGTTCAGTTTTTACTCAAGGTTGACTCAGTCTTCCATCCTGGTAAAATGAGGACCCAGGTTGTTGGAGAAAGTATGCTGACTCTGTAAATTGCTTAAAGATAGCTGTAAAGCCCTGTGAAGTAGTATATAAGTCTAAGTCCTATTGCTATTGCTATATATCGTGTGTGTGTGTGTGTGTGTGTGTGTGTGTGTGTGTGTGTGTGTGTAAAGAGAGAGAGAGAGAGAGAGATTATTGTAAGCCACCCAAAGTAAATAAATTAATACTGGCAAAAGCTATGATACAATTACAGATGGGGAAGATTACAGATGTTGTAAGATCTGTTGTTAATCAATCAACCTCCACTGGGACTCAAAGCTAACTGACAGAGCCAGGTCTTTAGTTCTTACAAAAGGCCAGGCTGATTGAGGTTATTAACCTGCTGATCTGTTTAATCATTCTCTATATAGAATAGAACTCAGCCTTACTATTTTAATCTGAAATATTTGCTACCATAAATTGTATATGCTGCTTGGGTTTCTCTACACCTCTTGCTTGAAGTAACAGTAGAATTACTTAACAGTTTTATATTGGGATACCTGATAACTGAGTATAGGTTTGATGAGGTTCTCTTGTATTCTTGCATTTAAACTCATGTAATATATGTTTGTTTTCAGATTGAGTTCTCCTATCCTCCTCTAATTACTGGAGAAAGTCATGATAGTAATAGTTTGCCAGAGGAATGGAAATACCTGCCTTTTCTTGCATTGCCAGATGGTGCTCACAACTATCAAGAAGGTAAGAGCTCACATATGTTCCTTTCCTATAAATGCCTAAAAACTCTGGAATTTGATACTAGGCAAAGAATTTGATGCTCCGTAAAGAATTTGATGCTCTCAACGCAGGACCAAACTTTTTTTATATGGTTAGCTGGCAAAAAAATCTTTAAAAAATAATACTGTATGTTTTCCAGCCACAAACAAAACTTCCCCCTCTTTTGCTAGACAAAGAAAGGTGATTGTATAAACATTTTAAAATGCCATTTACAGGTAGAGGAAGAAGTAAGTTTTATAATTCAAGTAATATGAAGTAAAACTGATTTGGCCTTCAGTATTTTCTTTAAAAAATACGTTTATATATCTGGTGTTTATGGTATGAAACGGTTCTGCAAAACAGTATGAATGTGCTTAGGCAAACTGTGTACAAGACTTGCACAATATCAACAATTCCTAAATAACACAGACCAAAACACCAAAATCAATGCATACTGCGTTTCCCTGAAAATAAATTGGGTCTTGTTTTCTTTTGGAACCAAATAAGCACTAGGGCTTATTTTTAGGGGCATCTTATTTTGTGGCCACCAGCTTTGCTCCTTTCCACCATCTGCTTGCCCATGGCTGCAACAGCTTACAAGGCTTCCCAGGGCAAACACACTTTTTGACCAAGAAATGAGAAAGGCTCAAAGCTTCATCTGCTTGCAAATGGGACGGTTTGAAATGGAACTAAGCATGTTAGGATTGTCTGCCTCCCCCCCTCCCCCCCGGTGGGATGCTTTGAAATAGAAAAAATAGCATTTTCAAGCAGATGGACTTCATCTACCACTGGGCGAAAAGTGTACAGCCAGGTAGAGGGAGAAATATGGGTGGGGTGGGGTGGAAGAAGGCGATCCCAATGTGCTTATTTCTGTTTCAAAGCATCCCATTTGCAAGTAGACAAAGTTTCATCTTGATCTGGGCAAAAAGTGCATGGCAGAGGCGAGCTGAGACAGGCGATCCAGACATGCTGCACGGCTGCCTGGCTCACAGGAGGCTCACGGGAAGTTTGTGTGGTGGCACCAACAGCAGGCAGAGGCACGGAGGAAGCAGCTGCCCACCCTCTCCCTCCCACCATCTGCTTGCCTGCAGCTGTAACGGCTTACAAGGCTTCCTAGGGCGGACACATTTTTTTGCCCAAACGGAGAAATGAGGGAGACTCAAATCTTCGTCTATTTGCAAATGGGACACAAATGCAAAACAGAGCAATTAGCTCTGTTTCAAAGCATCCCATTTGCAAGCAGATGAAGTTTTGGCTCCCTCTGGGAGAAAAGTCACGGGCAGAGAGGCAGGTGATCCCAAAGCACCACCCACTCCATCCCACCATTTCTCGGGTTGCCTGAGGCTGCATCAGGCAGGCACTCCCATAGGACATCGGGATTGCCTGTCTCCCCCACCCGCTTTGCCTCTGCCTGCTGCCAGTGCCACTGTGCAAGTCTCCCGCAAGCCTTCTGTGAGCTAGGCAGCCATTCAGCACATCCAGATTGCCTGTCTCCCTCTGCATTTGCTTCCACCCTTGGACTTATCTGTTCTGTTCCAAGGAGCTGGTGGGCTATGGGTCCTAATCCTTGCACACTCTCTGCCTCTTGTGTTGGTCACACCCATCTGCCGGGTTTATTTTTGTAGTAGGGCTTACATTAGGCCCACTCCTAAAAAATGAAGCCAGGGCTTATTTTCTGGGTGGGTCCTATTTTCAGGGAATCACGGTGGTTACCAATTATTCTACCACTATTGCAATAAGTCATTGATGCATAGTTGTAGTAAAAGAAAAAATATATGCTTTCAGAACCAATTCCTTTGTTTCTGAGAGGCAGTTCATCTCCATATTAGGCTGCCATTTACACTCTTTGCTTAATATATTTTATTAATATTGTGGACTGCATGAAGGACCAGTTTAAAATATAATAAGGAAAATTGGTTTAAAGTTTCCGTCTCAACCAGCTGTGAAAATAGCCAATAGCAGAATATTTTCATAATTCCCAACATCCTATCTACTTAAAAATATGCATTTTCCAATCTATAGGAAGCAAAGGTGCTTTGGACCAGTCATGGGTACTTTCTGTATCTTAAAATAATTGTATCCTTTTAAGATTTGCACAGTAATTATGCAGACTGTGAAATATGCATTTCCTGAGCTCCTTGGCTACTGTGAAACAGCCCAATTCCTTTAAGAAACTGCTGACAGGGTCAGAGAGGGTGTGCTCAATAGATCTGATGCCCACTTTGTATCCAAATAACATATATCTCTCTATTTGTCTTGAAAGGCTGCATAAAGCAAATGAAGTAGGAATTTTGCAATATGCTGGAAGAAGGAAAGCAACTGAGACATTTGGATGTATATGAAAACTAGTAGAAAAACCTTTTTATGCAGGATCACAAGCCTTGTAAAAAAACATAGATACTTTAATGAATCATGTATCATATGTATCTTAAGATTATAGTATCTCAAATTTGGAATTAGAATCTTGAAAGCAAGTTTTAAAATGCCAGATTTGATAGTATATGTTTAACATAGTATATATTAAGGATAGCATATGTTTAACATTTACTCTGGTCATATATTTTGTTATTGGTTATCTAAATTGATAAGATAGCTAACCCTATCCTAATTTAATATTGATTGGGTTCATAGGTAACTCTAAATAAGGGGTGTCAAACTTAATTTCATTGAGGGCTATATCAGGATTGTGTTTGATTTCAGGGGACCAGGGTGGATGTGGCCTGGATGGGCATGGCCAGCTCAACATCACTCATGTCAATGCCTGTGGCGGCCCAAGTGTTCTGCCAGTGGAAACAGGCTCCTGAGCTCTCTTTCCTGCTGCAACAGTCTCCTGCAACCGTTTGCCAGCAAAAACGGAGGTCAGGAGAGCCACTTGCAGCCCTCCTGAGTTCCATTTTTTCTGGGTGAAACACCACAGGCCAGTCCCTCGCTGTATCCAGGGTGGCCCCACAGGCCAGATCTAAGCACCTTGTGGGCTGGATCCAGCCCTTAGACCTTGAGTTTGACATCCCTGCTCTAAACAATTGTGGTTTACAAATCACAATGGCTGGATTCACAAATCATGCTCAGTTAAAATCTCCAGACCCTATTAATGGCCTTTGTGATATGTGAAGTTAGTGCATAATTATAATTTAGATAGCAACCTATTAGAAAAAAAGTTGAAACTTTCTACTCTCTTCAGCAGGATAATGAATGAGTAGCCTTAAAGGAATCTGAGTGTCAAAAACATTGGAGGTGCTGAACTTTTGTACATATTGATTCAACCATAAAAACTATTCAAACCAAAGAATTATTTCAGTATGATTAAAATCACAACTTTTTAAAACTAGTAAAACGGCTTGGGCTGTTCAGAATAGTCACATGCTTATTTCTAATACCAAGCCAAAAGGTTGCATTTTTTCCCTGATTACGATACATTAATTTGAAATTTGGTCCTTATTATTTGGAAAATTATAGTCCCGAAGAAACTTAATGTCTCAATGTGATACTTATAAGGGATATAAAACAATCTCTTTTCTTCATTTTTAGACACCGTGTTTTTCCATTTGCCACCAAGAAGTGGAGATCGAAGCACAATATATGGGGTCTCTTGTTATAGGCAAATTGAAGCTAAGGTAATTATTCTGAAGTTAGGTAAACATTTGTACTGAAAATTTATTGAAAATGCGTTCTTCAACTTACAACTATGGTGGAGCCTGGAATCTCAATCTAAGTTCCTGTTGCAGGCCTACAGTATGTAACCAGATTCAATTTTACACATGTTTACAATGATTGTAAAGCAAGTCACTATGGCGTTAAACAAATTATGTGATCATTAAGCATATCCTAGCATTTTCCAATCCTTTGCCAAAAAATGGTTAAAATGTCATAAATTGTAGTCACCTGTTGAACATTACAGCTGGCCATAAATGCAAGCTAGTTGCTATGTAACTGAGATGTGATCATGTGACTATAGGGTAGGAAAGGAGCAGTCATAATTTCAACAGTAAGTCATAAGTAGCTTTTTAAAAAATCTGCTATACCTTCAACCAATTGTTAAAAGACCAGTTGTTAGTTGAGGACTGTATACTGAATACTGGTTTTTACATGTTCATTTGATATTGAACATCTGCATGGTTGTTCAAATGCTAAACCAGTATTTTTGAGAATTCAGTTTATCAACAATATCTAATCATTTGGGGCTTCCCGCAAACATGTACATACAAACAATTAGAAGATAGGTAAAGGAAGAAACCGCTTGAATTCAAACATTCAACTGCTTGCATTCAAATAGTCTTAGTTTCTAATAAGATAGAAATTAAAGTTAGCTCATAAATCTCATTAAAGATTTATAAATGCATAATGTGTGACAATACTTGTTGTAGCATTGGATGTCCAGCTTCTTTAGCCATATGATCACAAAAATGCTTTTATATTAACATATTCCCTATGAAATAAAAGACAATGACTTTGACCTATAAGTTATAAGTAGTTTGAATAATGATTACATGTTTCTAGAAATTCTTTAGAAGGTGCAGAAGTAATTTTTTTGCTATTTTATCTTCAGATTTAGATACCTGCAAATATAATCCTACTTTGATGTAATATTTATTAAGAATTGTGATTATACTAATAAATATTAATACAAACTAAACTTGAACAATGAGGAAAGAAATAGTAAAAAGTGCAAGAAAAAAGAACATAGAAAAGATAATGAATGTTATAAAGAAAGATCTTCATTTATTTATTTATTTATAAAATTTATTGGCTGCCCATCTTATCACAGGATAATTCATCACAAGTGTGAACACATTTCTTCTCTTTAAAGTTATAAATATTTATTTCCTCATCCCATGTCCCAATTTTGATCAATAGATAAATCTATAAAACATCATCTTTTCAGTCCTGGTATCAGCAGAAAGCCCATAAAGGATAGCCACAAGTAACAACATACTTTGTTTTAAATAAAGCATTTATTTGATAAAGTGAACCAACTCTATATTCCTTCCTTTTATTTCTGACTGTCTTAATCTTTAGTTCATTAACAACTCTTTGTAAATTAAATAGGAAAAAAATTACCGGGATCACTCTCTTGATTTGTCATTTGTATTTCTTTTTTAAATTTTAATTTTTCACTCAGTTTCATTTACAGAGCCAATCAAACATCCTTTTATAAATTTTTCTCTTGGCCTGGAAGTTGTAAATCCACTTTCAATACCATCTCTATCTTGTCAGATAAAATTTATTCTACATCTGAGTATGCTTCAGTAACATCTTTTGGTCATAGTCTGTCCATAGAAGCAGTCATCATTGTTGATAGCATGGATATTGTAGCTACTATTTTCTGATTCCATTCTTCAGAAGTCTCCTTCAGTATTTTTATTGTCATAATGTTTTGTATATTACAGTCTTATATATCTTTATCTAAAATCTTTAGTCCCCTCTGTGATCCAATTTTTCAAAGCACAACTTTGCTTATCTATGCTATGTCTCCTAAAACGAAAACAGGATCTATTTCCCATGACAATTTTTTGTTTTATAATTAATTCCAAAATCTTATTGTAAAAGTTTCAACATTCCAAATTTATCTGGACCCTTAGTCCACTGATAGCTTCTAAGTTCAATTTTTTTTTAGTTTTCATTTTTATTTCAGATTCTTTTAATTAATTAAATTTATAATTAACTTTTTCATTCAGAATTCACCCACATTCACAGAAGGAATTTTAAACATGTCATTCTGAAGATCTCTTAATAGCTTAGAAGTAATTACTGTGCGATTTCCAGAAGCGATTAGAAAATTAGGTTTGCAAATTTAGTATCCTTTGCTGCTGTTATAAGCAAGATGGCTAATCCTATTCTTGGCTCTGCTTTCACATAGCCATCTTAAGTTCACCATAGTTTCCATGGAAATCACCCAAATATATTCCTACTTTCTGAGAATTTCTACTTCATTTATTATATAAGCTATTTGATATCTTGTCCTATTAAAAATCAATAACATTAGTAATTTATAAAATCATTTTAGTTTCCAACTGTAGTTGCATCTATCATCTATATTCAAAGGATGGACATGATAATTTGAATAGTTTTAACGTAGGATCAAAGTTCTATATACTATACAGGAAGTGATTAAGTATTTTAATTGTTCCAAATTAATAATAACTTCCCAAATAGATTTATTTTGTAGAAAATAAAATGAGTAAAATAGCGACAAACACAAGAAATCAATGGGTTCGCATAACATTAACTCCAAACAAGTCCCATGGTACCTTTCCATGATGTGACTTTTTCTAATGTAATGCTTTAATATTTCCCTATTATATTCTTTCTCTTTCAGTAAAATGGATCTTCAGTCAAGTTGCTAGACTACTTAACTTTTTTCTAGATTATTAAAGTTAGTAAATAAATGTCATATTTTAGTGAAAAAATGTTTGCTTTTAAATGGAAATACATTAAGAAAAGCTTTCTAAGTTTAGTTTTTCTTCCTTTAAGGCATTGAAAGTACGGCAAGTAGACATTACTCGGGAAACAGTACAGAAAAGTGTATGTGTTCTAAGTCAGCTGGTAAGAGATAAGATAACATATGATGCTTTGTTTTTGGATGTTTATATTAGATATGGATAATTGCATGAACTGAAATCTGAATCAAAGTTATCCTTTCCAGAGGATTTGTTTGATAGAGAAAAAATACTCTGTATAAACAGTTAAATAAGAGCAACCCAACTGGATATGCCCATATTTTTCAATATAGCATATTGTAATGTAGGGCAGGGGTCCCCAACCACCGGGCCGCGGACCGGTCCCGGTCCGTGGATCATTTGGTACCGGACCGCAAAGAAAATAAAAATAAAATAAAAATGGCGGCTTTCTTCGCCTTCGGTGAATGCTGCTGGGATCAGGGATCAAGAATACAAATGAAAGAAGGGGAGGGAGGAAGCAACCAAAGCCTGTCCTGCTCTCCGGCTCAGCGGCTTCGGTTTCCTCCCGCCTCGTTCCTCTCTCAGTCGCTCTCTCGCTCCTCCACCAGCCCAGGAAGAAACTGCTTCAAAGAAGCCAGCAGGGTGGCTTTTCCTGTCGGCGCAGCTCCTCCGAAGCGCCCGTTCACCCCCACCCCGCCGCCCGCGGTTCAATCCAGTGCTCCGTTCTGCCTGCCTGCCTGCCTTCGTTTCTGGTTGTTTCGGAGGAGCTTTGGCTGAGAATAATAACTATTCGCCTCTTTTACTCAGCCGAAGCTGCTCCGAAACAACCAGAAACGAAGGCAGGGAGGCAGGCAGGCAGAACGGAGCACTGGATTGAACCGCGGGCGGCGGAGTGGGGGTGAACGGGCGCTTTGGAGGAGCTGCGCCGACAGGAAAAGCCACCCTGCTGGCTTCTTTGAAGCAGTTTCTTCCTGGGCTGGTGGAGGAGCGAGAGAGCGACTGAGAGAGGAACGAGGCAGACACCTGAGGGATGAGGCTGAAGGAGGCAGGGCTGAGAGGCGGGGCTTCTCAGCCATCCTGCAGGGACTTGTCCTGAGCCTCCCTGAACTTGGTGGTTTGCTGGCAGACGTTTTATTACCTGACTAGGTAACAACATCAGATGTTATCTAGTCAGGTAATGAAATGTCTGCAAGCAAACCACCAAACTCGGACTCCTCCCCCTCCCCCCCCCTTGAAAAAGTGTCTCCCCCCCCTCCGGTCCTTGAAAAAGTGTTTCTGCGTGAAACTGGTCCCTGGTACAAAAAAGGTTGGAGACCACTGATGTAGGGTACAAAAAATTATTGAAGCTTATACTGTTAAAGTCTTTTTCCAGCCTTAAGTTCCACTTTAAGTTCCACTCAACTAAATTTAGAAAATGACATTCAATTCCTGCTCCAATTTTAAGAGAAAGAAGACTATGATTCCTCACATGATTTAGATCTAAATACTTGTCTTCCTAGTCTTGTCTCCCAGTTTGTTAATCTGTTACACCAGTTTTTAATGAAATAGAATGAGATATTTTGCCCATATTTTACTGTATTAGTATCTAATGTTTTGAATAAAAGCATATTCATAAAAAAACACAGATGTATGCGCAATTAAACCCAGTGTTGCTTTGAAAGCCACATATCCCAAAAGTGCTTTTTCAAGAGGCAACTGGACTTTCTGTTTTTTTCTTTTGTTTCTCATCCAAGAAGCTTCTTCAACTCTGACTGGATGTGGGGAATGGAAGGATTTATACTCCTTGCAGACATCTGGCCATTTGCATTCTTTTAGTGAGTTAAAATCACTTGGAGGTTTATCTGTGTCATCAGGGTGCGTGGAGTCTTCTTGGAACTGTTGAAATGACTGTGTTGTAGATTGGAGACAGATGATGTTTTATCCGTCCTTCTCCCTCTCCCTCTGTTGAGAGAAAGCTGTTCAATTTTGATATAGATGGCCTCTTTGACCCTTCTCTCAAACTACAGGTCCTCCCTGTCCAATTTTGGGTCATAGAGGCCATCTATATCAAAATTGAACAGCCTTCTCTCAACAGAGGGGAAGGGATACAACATCATCTGCCTCCACAGTCATTTCAGCAGTTCCAAGAAGACTCCATACCCATTGCCACTGGTGACCCTGATGACACAGATAAACCTCCAGGTGATCTTAACAACTCACTAAAAGAATGCAAATGACAGTCTGCAAGGAATATAAATCCTTCCATTTCCCACCATCCAGTCAGAACTGAAGAAGCTTCTTGGATGAGAAGTGAAACATCTTCAAAGAAAAAAAACCTAGAAAATCCAGTTGCCTCTTGAAAAACATCCTTGGGGCAACCATGACCTGGATGACTGAGAGTCTCCATAGAAAATGAAATCCAGATCTTACTGTATAGAATAACTGACCATTCCAATTCATATTCATAAATTAGCTGCAACTGTATATGATATATGGCTTGAAGAATATTCAGTGTATTCAGATTATTCAAATTCATCTGCTTTTAATGACTAGATTGTGTTATTACTACATTGTTTGGCTTTGTTGATATAACATGATGCTCTGTTTCTTGCAAGCCTCTATATGGGCTACTTCAAGCTAAGTTGCAGCTAATTACGCATGCCTACTTTGAAGAGAAAGACTTCTCACAAATTTCAATTCTTAAGGTATGTTTTAAATATACAAAAGTAAGAGAGGGAGGGAGAGGGAGGGAGGGGAGGGAGAGAGAGGGAAAAAGTGAGAGCACATTCAGTAACATTAAAAGTGGAATGGAGAACCCATTGCTGATAGAAGAGTATATACACTCATGGACAGAGTCTATGATCAGAATAGAATGGAAGATTCTGCTTAATGATATTCTTTGCAGCACAGATAGTCCTCATCTAATGACTAGTTGTTCAATGATAAGTAGCGCTGATGAATGCTGGTTAATGTCTGGTCCCCAAAGTTATGATCATTGCAGTGCCTCCAGTTACATGATCAATATTTGGATGCTTGGCAGCCCATCTGCACTTATGACCACAGGGACTTTTCAACTCTCTATTTATTTATTTTTATTTTTATTTATTTATTTATTTTTATTTGTCAATCACTTACAAGATAATAGATATAAGTATAAACATAGTTATGAATACATGAAATGGGTACATATAAAAAAAATAAAAGAAACAGGACAGGGACGGTAGGCACTTTGGTGCAGGCCCCCTAGAGACCTCTTAGGAAAGGGGTGAGGTCAATAGTAGACAGTCTAAAGTTAACATTTTGGGGGTTTGGAGAAGAAACCACAGAGTCAAGTAGAGTATTCCCGACATTGACCACTCTGTTGCTGAAGTTGTATTTCCTGCAATCAAGTTTGGTATGGTTAACCTGAGTTTGTATCTATTGTTTGTTCTTGTGTTGTTATGGTTGAAGCTGAAGTATTCATTGACAGGTAAGTCATTGCAATGTATGATTTTATATACCGTACTTAGATCAGACCGAAGATGGCGTAATTCAAGGTTTTCTAGGTCTAGAATTTCAAGTCTACAATGAGTAGAGGAGTGGAGAACTCTTCTTGTGAAATATTTCCAGACTTTCTGAACTGTGCTAATATCAGATACGTAATGTGGGTTCCAGACTGATGAGCTGTTTTCGAGTATCTTGCCTATCTTTCCCTCATCTTTGCTCTTTAGGCCACCTGCAAGACTGCTGGTCTTGCCGCCCTGTGCTCTGCTGGCCCTGATTTTTGTCAGAGCTTTAAAAAATCTGTTTTGGAAGTTGGTATCCTTGTCCAAACTGCATGCGGCCCTTGTCTAATTTGAAAAGATTGCAAGAAGGTCACAGGTTTAAGAAGGCCTAGTGCAACAGCAGCTGCCTTGCAAAGGGCCAAGCTGGGTGTGCCTCAAACAGCAGTAGCAGAAGGAAGAAGATGCAAATGTCAGCCGGGGGTGGCAGGGCTCATATAGCCTTGTAACATTCAGGCCTGCTGAATGTTAGTTTCCTCTTACCTGTTATTTACAAAGAGAAACTTGATCCAACCAGGTGTCCATTGTTAGTAAGTTAGAAGGTAGTTTCTAGCAAGACTCTGACAGCCAGTTTTGTATGCTTTCTGAAAGAATATTCTATTTAAAAGCTATTGAAACTATTGCTAAGGGATGTTTTTGAAAGCTACATGCACACATTATTTGCAGAATAGCATACTGTATACAAGATCTTTGCAAAATTCCATTAAAGCAGTTCTGGACCCCAGGATTTTAAAGATTGAATAACTATATCTTTTTTTGAGAGACTCAAAAAAGTTAGCTCTCTTAGAAAAACTATTTTGGTATATTTTTCTTATAGAAAGTAGACCTATTCCTTTTCCCTCTAAAGTTACTTTTAAAAAAAGGATGCTTATGCTTTCAATATTTTATTGTTTTTCAGGAACTTTATGAACATATGAATAGCTCACTGGGAGGGGGCTCACTGGAATGGTCACAAGTTTATCTCGGTAAGGTAACATAACGCTTCCAATTTTTATAAGTATTTTATAACATATAAAGCTTAATGCCAATCCTGTAAGTCTGAAAATAATTACCAGTTATTTTGATTTTCTTTCCTATTTGTCAAGCACCTGTGTATCATGATTTGTGTGTCATGTATCATAAAAATATTAGGTGTTATGTTCAACTTCTTTTTTTGCATTTCAATTTATTTCTGAGGAATTTCTTACAAAATAGTTTTTAGAAACCACAACCACAATATTAAACATGTGTTATTGAAACAGATCATTCAAACTTCCTTCCTTTTTTCTCTTGGAGGATTTGATATGAGGATTTAAAATCCATAAAAGTTAAAAAAAAAAAAGTCCAAGAACTAGACTTTTTTTCAATATAACTTTATCCTATTCTTCCTGCTTTAATTCATACTGTCAGCAAACTTCTCTAATGTACAGTATCCAAATAAATATACAGCATATGACAAAAGTCATTGCACCAGGTTTACACAAATGAAAATATAAATGACCAACACAGTCACATCTTGTCTAAAATATTCATTATATTAAGTAAATAATATAATGCTCAGTGATGAGAAATAGTATTGTCAGTTGATGTTTCCCTCAAAAACTTGCCCGATGTTTTAAGACAAAGAAGACATACAATGCAATAAAAATACTTTTTTTCTTATTGGTGGTAGAAATTCAGGATGCTTCTCATTGTAAAATGAATAATGAGGCAGATCTGCACTCTAGCTGCTTATAAAGACTTTACATTCACCTATCTGACTGCAGAGTTAGAAATTTTAGGCTGTGAAAATTTGATGTTTTATATGAAGAGATATTATCTAAATAACAGTTCACAATATTGCATTTCTACCACCCCAAAAAATGAATTCATATATTTAGTAAATGGAAACAGGTAAGACTCTTAGAAGATTTCAAAGTGTTAGTTGCTTTTATTGAAATGTACCATTTTCCTCTCCATTGTTTTTAGGCCTGTCCCCACGAGATCTTGTTCTTCAATTTAGACACAAGGTATGTTATAAAATTGAAATGTGCATAACTATTTCCACTTTTTTTGAAACTTAAAAAAACAATATGTAGTTACAGATATAAGTAAATAAAAGAAGAATTTTCTGGATCTATATTGTACATTGACATGACATTTGAATACTTTAAGCGTAGGGTCATTTATAAATACATTGCTGGACTACTAAAGTTTTAAGATATCTCTTTCTTTATGTTTTAAAGGTTTTAATTCTTTTTAAGTTGATTCTTCTAGAAAAGAAGGTAAGATTATTCTTATATTTCCTAAAAGGCAAAATATATGACTTCATTAACATTATTCCATTAATACTTATGGAGATGCATTATTCCTTTATGCAGTTAACCAGGATGGAGAAGTGCTTATTTTCCCACGAGCTGCAAAGAGCATCCAGTAGTGGGAGGTGCTTCAGTCTCTGCTTATCTAGGCTGGGCTTAATTTGCGGAACGCTCCTCCTTCTCCACGGGACTCCTCCCCAGCGTTACCCAGTTTTGGCTCAGCCTTGTGAGAGATAGGCAGTGCTTCTTGTTAATCCTTGGCCGAAACAGAATTCTCTTTAAGGTTTGCAGATAGTCAATTGTTCTTTCCTTACCGACGCTGCCCTTGCCATCTGGCCGTTGGGGATCGCATTACCAGGAAGCGCTCCTAAGCGCAGGGAGGCTTCGATTTCATTTCGCTCCCACCAACCACTAGCCCTACTCTTGCCATTACGATCGCGGAGCTGCTTTATCATTTAAACAGCGAGGCTTTTTTTCTCACGCTCTCTCCTGAGTTGTATCACAGTTTTTCCTTTTCTCCAAGAACGCCGTTTAGGGTGGAGGTGTAATCGCCTTGTTATTTCACCCCTCCCCGCCGGTTTAGCCCTAAGGGAAGGCTGTTGGAGCTTATCTGTTTTTCTTGGTGGGAGATTGCTGCTGGCATGCACGCCACAAATAACGTCCAGTCGCCAATTTTTTTTTCTGTCAAGGTTCTAATTCAATAAATTACCTGTGTGAGGTAATCCTTATTACGGATTGAAGGGTTTTTTCACACAAAATACCCCGAGGAATCATTACAACCTCATTTTCAACATATTCGAGGCTTTTGTTAATTCGTGTTGTTGGCTCAACCCTCACAGTTCTCCCTATCCAGCGGCACAACAGCAAGCAATTAGGCTAGCTTCTGCCTGTGCAGGGAAGCTGTTGAAAGCCTGAGAGTGATTATTTGGCCTGCTAGGCGTTCTCAATTTGGCTGATTGGGACATCCAAATTTGATATATATTTGCACCCATACGCTCTGATAATATTAATCACACCAATATAATAATACTGGCAATTTCATAACAATAATAAATTAATTGTTGAGATACGACTCAATTTTGAAGCAGATATCCATATTTTAAAAAAAACTTTAAAAAAAATGGGGGATTTGATTTCAGGGCACCCTATCTATTCTTGGCCAGGTTCCTGGGTGCGCCAACCACCTACACAATATAGCATTAAATAATGAGCGTACTGGTCCTTTTATAATCACAGTGGCAGGGGTAGTGGTTCACCCTCCTCAACTTCAAGGGACAAGTCCATATCTCAACACAATCCTAAGCAAAAAAAAAAAAAAAAGGACTTCTAAGGCATCAGAAAAGGATGCCAACAGGCGCCACAAGGCTCTGGAAAAACAAATAGATGTGCACACGGGAGGCACACAGGACCTCTCAAGTCTTCTCACCCCACAGTCCAGAGCTGTCCTCCTCTTTCCTCCCTCCTACCCCCCTAGATCTCTCCCTCCCATCCAGGCGCAGCGTGGCTCCCCTGAGTCAACAGGCCCAATCAGCTTAATCACCAACCATGTGAAGAATACCTGAAGCGATGTTCACACCAATGGCTGCCAGTCTTCAACAGGAACAATCTCTTCCAGAGGATGTGCCAGAGTGAATGAAGACCTGGATGGAGATGGCTGTCTGTCAGGGAATCGCAGCAGGCCTGCAACATGCGGTTCTGACCAGGGATCATCCCGCACCCGCTGAGTATGATTCGCAATCAGTTCGATCATTGGCCAAGTCGGAGCTACACTATACCCAGGTACAGTGTCAAAGGGGTATGCTCCTACAGGAGCTACAGGAGGAGGAGCAGGAGGAGGAGGCGGAAGAGGTGGAACACATTGAACACATGGACCAGAGTGAATCAGAATCAATGCATGATACTGACCTGGCCATGTCGGAAACAGACCCCTTAGAAAAGGGGATGTCTGAGGATGAGGGCCTCGTTCCCAACCAACTGGTATTTACAGGCTTGTTCCAGCCACAACTTTTCAAATCTCTATTATTCACGGCCAAAAATACTGTGCGACTGGACAAGCCGGCCCCTTCTAACACTCCAACTCCATCAGACGAGAGACCAGAGAATCTCATTTTCATCCAGCCTGTAGTTGAGGCAGACGTGATTCCAGTCCTTCACATGTCTACAGACCTGGTACAGAAACAGTGGGCTTCTGCAACAGTGTTCCCGGCCCCCACTGGTTACGACAGGAAATTCTTTAATTTGGCCCCAGATTTCTTAAAATTGTTGAATACTCCTGAGGTAGATGTACCCATTGTGGGATTAGCGTCCTTGTCCTCCATTCCCAGTGAGGCGCTGGAGGCATTAAAGCCGGAGGACAAACGGGTCAAGCTAGCCCTATGCAGGGCCCATCAGTCTGATGCGTGGGCATCAGAGCGGCCACGGCCGCTTCCTTCTTTACCCGTTCTTCCCTCAGATGGCTCCGGCTATTACGGGAGCATGTCCCCAATTCCAACACTAGAGCACACCAAGACATTGCAAAGCTTATAGCAGCCGCCGAATTCTCAGCTGACGCAACTTTTCATGCAGTTAAGTTTTTAGCCAGAGCCATCACTTCACATGTCACAGCGCGACGCTATGGTTAAAGAACTGGCAAGCGGATATTAAACATAAATGCAAGCTCGCTTCATCTCCTCTAGTGGGAGACAGACTGTTTGGCCCTTCCCTCGATCCGCTACTCATCAAGACTTGAAATAAAAAGAAAATTTTACCCTTCCTTTTTCAGAGGTCAGACCCTAGAGACCCTAAGTCCTTTTGGAGGGGATCCTTTCGGCCCTTTTATCAGGGACCGTTCTCAACCAGATACCAGAGATCCCCACCTTTCCAACCAGGGCAACAGCCAGAAAGGTCAGACTTTGGGGATAGGAACAGAAGGGGTGGCCAACCCAAGAAATCCTTCCGAGGAGCGGGCCTCCTTAAATTATTCACAGACCAATGGGACTCCTCAGTGTCTGATTCCTGGGTCAGAGACATGATCAGATTCAGCCTCGCGCTGGAGTTTCAATCCACTCCCCCAGACTTCTTTATGTCGTGCCCTCTTTCCAGAGATCTGGCTAAACGAGATCTTATGGAAACAGCTATTCAGCACCAACTGGACATACGAGCCATCCAACCAGTAGCTACCGACCAACGAGGGTGAGGTTTTCTATTCACATCTTTTCATTGTTCCCAAAAGTTCAGGGGGGTGGAGAGCAATCTTGGATTTGAAATGCCTTAATCAATTTTTAGTATATCGCAAATTTAAAATGCACACCCTACAATCTATCTTACTTGGTATCAGAAAAGGTGACGTCCTTACATCTATAGATCTGACGGAGGCATATCTACATATTCCAATTCGGCCTTACCACTATAAATTTTTAAGATTCTGTTATAATAATCTCCATTTTGAATATGTGGCTCTTCCCTTCAGACTAGTCTCTGCCCCCAGGACCTTCACAAAGGTTCTTGCAGTCCTCGCTGCTCATCTCCAGGGGTGTCCCCATACGACTGCAGTGTTACCTCGATATCTTAATTCTGTCATCTTCTGTTCATCAGTCAGTCAGAGATACTCAGACATTACACTCCCTATAACTACATGGGTTCTCAATCAATTGGGAAAAGAGTCATTTATACCTTCAACTCGATTAATCCATCTGGGGGCAGTCATAGATACAGTGGAAGGCAAAGTTTTCCTGTCACCAGATAGACAAAACAGCATTCATCAATTAGTTAAGGAGATCAGGGTTCATAGGAGGGTGTCCCTAGCTGATTCATCAAAATTTTTAGGCAAGACGATCTCATGTATATCTATTATTCCTTGGACCCGGCTCCACACTAGATCCCTCCAGTGGTTCCTGCTTCTGTACCAGCGATCCGGCCAAAGCAACTCCAAATACAAGGTCAGAGTTCCATCACAGGTCCTCATATCTCTCCTCTGGTGGACCAGACCAGCCATAAACAAAGGTTGCCTATTCAAAGAGCCCCACAGTCTTACCATCACCACCGATGCCAGCCTGATTGGAAGGGGAGCTCACTTTCAATCGCTCACAGCCCAAGGCTGCTGGTCCTCCATAGAACGATCGCGCAGCATAAACTGGCTGGAGCTTTGAGCAGTACACCTGGCTCTCCGCAGCTTCCTTCCACAGGTACGCAACCAACACATATTAATATTGACTGACAACGTAACCACGAAAGCTCACATAAACAAAGGGGGGAACTCAGTCGAAACACCTCATGCGAGAAGCGGAGTGTTTGTGTCGTTGGGCAGAGAGCAACCTGATTTCCATCAGAGCAGAACACATTTCAGGACTGTTGAATACACAGGCAGATTGGCTAAGTAGGGCCACGATAGATCCATTGGAGTGGTGCCTCCATCCGACCCTCTTTCAAGAGGCGGTCAGGACATTTGGGCAGCCAGTAGTAGACCTGTTCGCTTCTCCCCTCAATGCTCAGCTCCCGAGATTTCTTTCCAAATACCCCTCACAAGGAGCAGAGAATTTCAATGCGCTCCATTGCCGTTGGCCCCTGAGGCTTCTGTATGCATTCCCGCCACTTCCACTGATCCCCAAGGTCATCCAGAAGCTACTTGATGAGAGGGCGGAGCTGCTTCTGGTAGCTCCCTATTCACCCAGACGGTTGTGGTTTGCAGACCTCCGCAATCTATCTGTATCATCACCATGGAGAATTCCGCCAGACAGGGTCTTGTTAACCCAAGGACCCCTTCAACATCTGGACCTTCAATGGTTGCACCTGACCGTCTGGAGGTTGAGCGGAGTCGTCTGAAGAGCAAAAAGTTTTCCAACAGAGTTATTGCCACCATCCAAGCTGCCAGATGCTCCTCAACAATTCTCACCTACATTGCCACGTGGTCCAGTTTCTACAAATGGTGTACCAAGTCTCAAATTGATCCCATTTCTCCATCTGTGGCACAGATCCTAGAGTTCTTACAA